TCATCGTTTAACCAAGCAGGTACCCTTTGTTTCCTTCTTTTCAGGCCTGTACCCCAATTCTGTATGCACAAATAAATAAAATCTTAAAAAAAATATATATATATATAATAGTTTATTTTTACATCGTTTTGTGCCTTTTTCCATTTCAGTTGTAATCCCCATGGCTTTCTATCACCAAATCATCTGTTATTTGGTGTGCCATCACCATAGTCCAGTGCACTTCCCCACGACCCTCCATCATTGATCCCATTCCCCACTCCACCCCCGTAAAATGTCTCTGGTATATAGCGTTCATTATATTTTCTCCCCTGTTCCTTTATAATCCTGCTATGAGTAAAACCATCGGTATTTTTCCTTTTCTTTCTGGTTTATTTCACCAAGCATGATCCCTTCCAGCCCCATCCATATTGCTGCAAAAGGTCTATGTTTAGAAAAATAAGTATCTTTTTAAAAAAGAAAAACAAAATCAAGCAAGATTATCAATATCATTTCAATGGTAATTCTTTTTAAGGAAAGGATTCCTTATTGCTAATAATGTACTTTTGTGGAAAAAAAATTTCATCAATGTTTGATGGTTCCAGATCCATGGCCTATGACCATATTGGCAAAAAAGGGCTTATTAGAGGAACTGCATACAGTAAAACATTAAAACCTTTGGAGCTTTCAAAAGCTCCTTTTATTTTACACTTTCATATTCTTGATATAATACTTTATTCTATACGTAAATGTTAAGAGGGATAACTCTGTTATCCCTACTTTTCATCTCAAAGAAGAAAACAAATAATTTACCTAAAAAGTAACATTATAAAAATGATGAATTTATTACCACTGTCCTTCAAAGCAAAACAGTTTACGAGCCACAAAGTCAAAGATTATTCAATAATCACTGGGTTTATTTAATGAAGGTGACATTTCCTCATTTAACTGTTCAGTTTATACAATTCACCTTCATCCAGCAAAAAAACTGGTATTTAGAAAAAGATGAAGGCTCCAAATGCAAACGTCAAGACAGGAGTTCAAGAATTAAACTAAACTAAAATGCTTTATGCACTGATAGGTACACAGTTATACAAATCCCTAAGACATCAAATTAGAAAAGGAAATCTATCTGAAAATAAAGGTTACTGGAATTCTTCATCAAATGTGCTCCAAACCTCAAATTACTAAGCTATCAGAAGAAAATCATTATTTTACAAATTACCTATATAATTGGGAAGAAGTTCAATATAAACTAACAGCTATGGTTATATTATTAGCTTTCATTAGTTCCTCTAGTATATGAGAAGAAAAACTATATACCCAATAGCCAGGAATTTGCCTGGTATTGTTAAGACAGGCCTAGTGTTCCTACAAGTTAGGCTGGCATTTACAGCAAAGTAATGTGTTCTTTTACTGAACAAAAACAATCTCAAAGAGCACCAATATAAGAAAAGATCACTCACTGTGATAGATAAAATAATAATAACAAAGATTCCAAAATCATGTCAGAACTCAGACAAAAGACAGTGACCAAGTCACAAATCTGAAGAAACATCTACCCTCTCCTGGTTAGTATGAGGGGCTGTGGCTATTTTAACAATTGCAGTGTTAGTCTCAATTCATTCCTCCCACTTTCTGGATTTAAGATACCCAATCATAGCATCAACCCCACTTCCTGACAGCATCCAATCTGAAGTCACATTTCCTTAAACCTTATCCCAAATCATGTAACACAAGCTCAAGACCTTTGCGAAGTTCTTTCCAATATACTAAAATAGCTCATTTTTCGAAGTGTACTCTGCTGAATTAATATTAACAGCTAGCTTTCTTTCAGTTTGTCCAGTAGGTCTTTTCCTAATCCTTCACTTTCAGATTTGGCTTAACAAACTTACTATGTCTTTTATAATCAGCATTAACCAAATTTGACTCCAATAAAAGTCCTTCTTTTAATCTTTGTGGTTAGTCCATTTAAGTATATAGGATTAGTATTTTGCACTTTCCATTTATCAAGCGTTCTTTCTGCTTGTTTTCTTTCTTTGTCATCGTTTAACCAAGCAGGTACCCTTTGTTTCCTTCTTTTCACTCTACTGGCTATTTCTAGCCTTCAGTATAATTTTTAATTTTAAACATATTTCATTTTAAAAAGATCTAAATTATTATTATACTCCCAAACAATTTTGTCTACAATTTCTTGCATTTTTCACTATACTCTTTTGTACTTCATTTTTGTCTTACTTAAGAATAATCACTTTTTAAACTTTAAGAGTTGTATCTCTTTTTTCTCCCTTATTCCTAAAGATTAACAAATTACAAGATGCTATCTTTCTAGGTACTTTTTAAAACTATGAAGTCCATTAATAGTCTATTTGTTTTTGTAGCTACTTCTAAGGTAATTTGTATGAAATATGTTTTCCATTTTCATGACAATACCCAGTGGTGATTTATTTATGCTTGGGACTCACTGTGTCTCCTCTATCTGAAGGTTTAGAACTTTTATATAATTCTGAAAACTCGTCAGGCATTATCTCCATATTTATTATCACTTACCCCTTCTTATTCCTACTTTAAAATTTCCCTGGGTATATGGTGAACTCTCAAAATTTCTCTCATTGTCCACCTCTGTGTTTTTGTGCTTTATTATGTAATTGTTTTGGATTGCCTACCAATTCACAAATTTCCTTTTCAGCTGTGACTAGTCTATTCTACCTCCTCCTCTAGTATTTAATGACACTGTATTTTTCATTTTCAAAAACAATCTTATTTTCCTTTCAAAATCTCTTCATGTCTTTGCTCATATTATTTCTTTTTGTTATGAATACTAATTTTAACATATTTTATAGGTTATTACTTATAAGTTCCTAGAAGTATAATCCTGCTATTACTCATATTCATTCTCTCTTGATTAAATGAATTGTTTCATGTGACTTTACAGTTTTGAACTCCAAGTTCATCAATTCATCAACCAGATCTGATCTATGAGAAACCCGGATTGAGAATGTACTCCTTGATTGAGAATGTACTCCTCCAGAGAGTTTTTAGCCTAAATTTATAGCTATCTTTCTATGGTAGCATCTGGGTTAGAATTTCCAAACTGTACAGATTGCTTACATTTAAACGAAATCAGCCTAAGGACTATGGTTATGAATCTTCAATGGAAGATTTGCAAACTCCTGGTAACCCAGGGTATGAGTTTCTTGTATCAATTCCTTGACTTTTCCTGCATCAAGGGAAGATTTTTTTTCTACAGTGGTCTTTTTTATGTCAGAAGTCATTGAGGATCTAGGCCCCAAAATCTATAATCCTAAACCTTTTAGGATTATGCAGATTACAATCTTTACCATTGCCACCAAGAGCACAGCTTTTGGTATTTCAAGCCTTAGTTTTTAACTACATCTATTTTTTGGCCCCTGAACTCTTTTTCTCCTATGACAGCTCAGGTACACAATTTAAAAAGTAAACTTGCTAACTTTATTTAGCATAGCTTTGATGTTCTTGGAAGGAGGGTTTTCAGGTCTAATCTACCTGGTAGCTGGTCAATAATGGTATATATTTTAGAGTCAGTATAAAAAAAAAAAGCTAACAATAAAAACTTTAAACATTTTTTAATTTAAAACTTGTTTGCATTTTAAATCAGAATCATAGTAACCATTCTTAGAGACAAAATTGACACAAATTAAATGACCACTTGTTTTAATGCTAAATAAAACATCCAGTAAAGTTTATTTATTTTACTTTTCACATAATCACTTTAACCCTAAAATCAAGCACAAGGGATTATGGTGAAGGACAATGGATGTTTCAGTGGTGGAAGAACTATGATGAGCATACCTGGAAGGAGAAATGTATTTTCCAAAAACTGACAGTGATGTAAGAAAAAACTACTATGTTTCAAAAAGAAAAGAACACAGCAGCCTTAAATAAAGGGGAAAAAGAAAACAACATCTAAAGTACCAGGTCTACATGTTAAAGTTTGAGAACAAAAACATTACAGAAAACATATATTCTTAAAGAACTCAACTTAATAAAGACAGTTTATTAACCCTGCTAATATTTTCAATCCTAGAATCACTTATACTAGTGACAATAACAGATTTTATGGTAACTGAACAGATGAAGAATTTAAAACATTTCTACTTTCTATTGATCTTTTAAAAAATCAAAGTCTGATATGGCTAAATAGAATAATACTCTACTAGGAATGTAAATTATACCTGAGGCTAGAAAGAAAAATTTTTTTAATATATTTTTAAGATAAATAGTTTTCTTAAAACATACAATGCGAGTCCTCCCTAGTGGCACAGTGGGTTAGGACGCAGCACTGCAAGCTAGCCACAGCTTGGTCTAATCTATCTTCAGGGCAAGTTCCATCCTGGCCCTGGAGGTGATCTACATGGCATGGCAGACCTTTCCTAACCCACCCGCTGCTCCACTCAGCAGTGTACTTCATTGATCTGCCTGTTCTGATCCTCACTCTGTCTATGGTAAATCTGCTCACCGCCCCTGCACCTCTCTGGCTTGTACCCAAGCTCTGTATGCATAAATAAAAATTAAAAAAAAAAAAAAAGACATGCAATGCCAAATGCTTCAAGGAATCTAATATTATTCTTGGACTTAATATAAGCTTTTTTTAAGTTAATGCTTAATTCTGAATGTTTAAAAGAAAAAGTCAAATGTTTTTAATAAAAATGCAGTGAGTAAAATAGTAAACATCAGAAAGTTTATCACTTACCAAATAATGTCAGCTTTAGTATCCTACTACACTGAATGGCAAAGGAAAGGTCAGAACTATCAAAAATTGTTATAAGATCTCCATCTGAAATTAACAAAGAGAAAGGAGTTTCAGAATTACATCACTGGTAAACTAGGATATATGTTAAATTATTATGAGGATAATTCAAAACGTGTACACCACCGACTCAATTAGAAGCTCCAAAAAAAGATTTCAAACTTTAAGGGATCTGGAAGAGATTTGTTTAAAAAAAAAATCAATTTTGTTTATTACTCTTATCGCAAGTTATTTGTCATATCCTCATAAAAACCAAAAACATAGCAAAGGTTAATACAATAAGCAACCTTTTACTAGTCAAGTGACAGAAGTATGTGATCCACAATGTTAAAATATTTACCTTTTCCTTTAAAGAAAAATTTGACCTTCGCCCTAAACAAAAATGAGGAAATTCATGATAGCAACATCACAAATTACTATAGATTAAAATCTTTCCATTCCAAAAGAAATGCAAATATATTTATCAAACGTTACAATAATAAAGATTCTCAAGGCTCAAACTAATTTTTAGTAAAAGGCCACTGACACAAATGGGAGGGATATATATAGGCTGTAAGTCAGTACACAATACCAAAATTCCCATCTTCTAATAATAAACCAGGAAATGAGTCATTCCTATTACAAATAATTTGACACTATCAATTGCTCCAATTTAACAAGATGTTTATAATAAATATATATCTTAATTATATACTTAACTACCAGGGATTTCTTCAATAACAATAAAACGACTTTAACTTCATAAAATAAGATTAAATAAGTTTTTCTTGTTGAATAAAAATTACATCACATTACACTAACTACAAGGGTTGCAAAAGACTTGCTTTAATTAAAGAACAGCTTTAATGAACAGATACAACACTGGAGTCTTTCCAGGCACTGGCCATTTTCAATACTAACATGAAAGCTATCAACTCTCCCCATAAAAAATATTCATATACACCAGATTCTGAAATCCCCTAGATTCCAAGAACAAAGAACACTATAATTAGCAAGTAACAGCATGTCTCACAAGCTTTCAAAGAACTAGGAGAAAATAAACTGTCTTGAGAGCTAGAACAGAAAAGCAGCCACTCAAAGGGGCTAATCAGGGATCTCTGTAGGTACCTTCATAGACAGTTGGGAGAGGTAACAGCCAAGAGGCTGCTCCAGGATACTCTGTTACACTAATTTTAACACAGGTTAGAAAGATTTATTTTGGACAAAGAAAAACTAAGAATTTTTTTTTTTTTTTAAGATTTATTTATTCATACAGAACTGGGTACAGGCCAGAGATGCAGAGGGTGAGAGGATTCACCAGAGACAGACTGGGGAGCAGAACAGGCAGATCAACGAAGTACACTGCTGAGGGGAGCAGCGGGCTGGTCAGGAGAGG